ACTCCTGCAACCTCCCTAGCGTGAGGGGAACAATGATCCTGCCACCGCCAGGCGGTTCCGTTAGCTGCACTACCCTCTCGAGATCGATCAACTTCCCTTTCTACAGTTCGCTTAGGGCAGCTGGATCGAAGATGGCCCTTTTCCCCACAGCCATAGCACCTAGGGTTGTATCCTTTGTTGCGGTCGCGAACTGTAGCTGCTGCAACCTCTCTGACGCGATGGGAACGATGATTCTGCCGCACGGCTTCCACCTCCAGTGCATGAGCCAAGACGTCCTTAAGCGTCTCGTGGTGCCCGAGCCTCACAGCAGCTCTGACTTCCAGGTCGCGGATGCCGTCGATGAATGTCTGCACCAGGTTTCCTTCAATTTTATCGACAATGGCAAAAGTTTTTGAATCTGTTGTTTGCCCCTCAATACAAAGCCATTTTCAGCAATACGTCAGCATATATCAGCATGGTTTTTTAAAATCGAAATCCACTTGAACAAACTTAGTCACATTTGTCGAAGGAATTGCTAAAGCTCTAGATAAACAGGAGGAAGTAGACGTTGTGTACACAGACTTCAGCAAGGCCTTCGACAAAATACCCCACTTACCTCTTATAGACAAACTTGCTGCCTATGGCTTTACAGGAAATTTTGCCAACTGGATTAATTCATATCTAACGAATAGACGTTTCTTCGTTGTTGCTAAAGGCTATAAGTCTGAATCTCACAAGATAACTTCAGGAATTCCTCAAGAATCCCATTTGGGGCCAATTATTTTTAACGTATATATCAACGATATGCCCAATAGTTTCCTTTCATCAACGCCCTATCTATTCGCAGATGATTTGAAAATTGCAAGAACTATTAAGTCCTAAGCTGATGTTCTCTTGTTACAACATGATTTAAATAGGTTATACAATTGGTGCTGTACAAATGGAATGGAATTAAATATAGATAAATGCTTTTTTATTAAATTTACTCGCAAACATACTAAAACTGAATCCAAATATTATATTGATGGCAAACTATTAAAAGTTGATAGAATTAAGGACCTGGGAATAATTCTAGATAACAAATTAACTTTCGTATCACATATTGAAAGCATTGTTAGGCGCTCATCTAATATGCTGGGCTTTATTATTAGAAACAGTAAAGTGTTCAAAAACTTACAGACACGTATCACTTTGTATAAAGCACTAGTACGTAGTCTTCTTGAATACTGCCCTGTTGTATGGAGGCCACACTATGCCACGCACATATTAAGAATAGAACGGGTCCAAAAACGCTTTTTATGGCATCTATCTCACATCTCCAAAGTTTCAAAGAAAAAGTTATCCTATCATGAAAACCTCAAACACTTTAAAATGTCCTCGTTGAATAAAAGAAGGACCCTTTTCGACCTAATATTCATTTGTAAAAATTTAACAATCAAATTGACTGCCCTCAGCTTCTATAAACCTTTTTAATTTCAGGATCCCCTTCAGGGTTCCAAGGAAACCTGTTTCTCTATTTTATCCGCCATTCCGCAGGACTGTTTTAGGATAACATTCACCAGTTCCTCGTTTGTGTAACGCATTTAATACGTGGTTTATTAATGATCCCAAGGATGTTTTCTCTCTTAAACTTAACCAGTTTCGAGCACATTTGTTAAAAAAAAATCCCAGATTAATTACACCTATCTTTTACCCGTTATAACTAGTTTAAAATTAACCTTATATCAATGTAAAAGGTACCTACTTATGTCACATGTTAAAATAGCACGTTGTGTTTACCTGTAACTGATTGTGCATTTGGCTCATTATAGTTTATTACAATGTAACTACTTTAAGTTTTTGTAATGTAACAGTCGTTGGTAGACCAAATAAATAAATAAATAAATGAGCGCAGGTACAGACCGGTATGCTTTTCGCGCCAGCTTCTCCACCTCTAGAGCCCACTGCTGCAGGTTTTCGTTGATGCGCTGCACGCGATCTTTAAGCTGCGCACGAAAGACGTGTTCCAGGTGAGCGTCGCCATATCTCGCCTCCAACGCCTCAAGGAGCTGCTTGTAGGTCACCTTCTTACCGAGAGCTTCCAACATAGTTAAGGCTTGGTCGCGCAGGCCTAGGGTGAGCGCAGTCATGGCTTGGCTTTTATTCCAGCCGTTCGCCTCCATGACGGCCTCGAACTGGATTTTGTAGGCCGACCAGGAAGAAGTCCCGTCGAACGGCGGCACTTTGAATCCACGTAGTGAAGGTGTTGTAGCTACTACGGGAGCTGTAGTTCCATCCCCAAGTTTGAGTTCGTCCAGTGATTTCTTCATGTCAGCCATTATGTTGTCAATCCGATTGTTCACTTGGTCGATTCGGGTTTCAGCTTTCGCGATTTGGGTTTCAGCTTCCGACAGGCGGTTGTCATGTTGAGCAACCTTATCCTTCACCTCCCGTATCTCTTTTCCGAAGGTAGCAACCGACGGGCCTGTTCCTTTTGTCCGCGGGCCTGTTCATCCTGTCCGCCCAGCAGCTGCTCTTCCAACCGACGGACCTGTTCCTCCTGTCGGCGAGCCTGTTCCTCCTGTCGGCGAGCCTGTTCCTGCAGCATCACTATCAGAGCACCTAAGTCGGGAGCTGCAGATGTAGGAGCTACTGACGGGCCTGCAGCCGGTGGCTGGCCCTCCGAAGTCTGCAGCGTTGCACCACCAAATCTTCTTTGGTCCATCTCCTGCTGGCGTTGACTTCGGCTACGGAAACCCTCCGTTTCCTCCTTAGGTCGGCATGATTTTATTCCACTTTTGACACCAATTGTTACGAGCTTGAGGTTCGTGGCAATAAAAACTGCCGATTGAATTACCAAAATTTACACTTTAATTTTCTTTACACCAATTAAAACTTAAAACACTAATAATTAATCACACTGATTCACTTTATTTCGCTCCGAAGCTTCGCTTGTCTCGCCAAATCAATACTGCCTCGATCGCATTTTGCAGCGCCTTTAGTACACATTATCACCGAAACATCCAGAATATTCAAGTAAATACGCGCGCCAATCGACCAGGCGCCGAAAGTTCGAGTATAGGGCTTCTAGAAAGCTTAGTTCTTCATTTCGACACTAGATGGCGCTGTCGGTTGAAAGATTAGTGATGTCATTTTCTGGAAAGCTCTCCTCGCTCTGTTACCCGACACAGATGGCGCTAGTGCCAGACGTCAACATAGGCGCGCAACAGTTGCTACGCTTGGCGAGTGGGTTGGCAACCGCAGTTTTTTGTTGTACAATTGCTGTTGCCTCCTGTCTCCTGCCTGTTTCTTTTACGAAACCCACGGGAAGATATGGGCTACACGGCAATTTATTTAAAAGATCGAAATCAATTTATTTACAAACTACACTGATTGATATAATATTATTGTTATTTAAACAAAATTACCTTTTTAGCGACATCGCAGTTATTGTTCATAATGGCTACATTTTTCTTCTAAACACAAACTAGCACGTCTTTGTAAATTGTTTGTTAAACTTTGAAGGGTGTCTCTATCTTTTTATTACATTAAATTCGTCTATTATACGCTGCTTTAAATCACTAACACTTTGTGCTTCTGCTGTGTTCACTAATCGTTTTAGTTCGGCCCACAAATAATAGTCTAGAGGTGTTAGGTCTGGTGATCTTTACGGCCAGTTCACAGGTCAACTGCGACGTATCCACCTATCACCGAATTGACTTGTCATTGTTAGATATTCGACATTAGAGTATTCGTATATGTTTACGATATAAACGCGGAAACATAAACAATACGGCGACGCGACGTCACGTCACAGCTAATAACAAGTAAGTGAAGAATTGAGAGCGCGGGTGGCTATGCCCTTGAGCCTGTAAGCTTGAGAAGTGGCAGGGTCAAAGATGCCTACAAAATTTATTATTTTATTGCCGTTTGTAAAGTAGGGTGAATATGATTTGAATTTTGATAGTTTTTAATTGATTTATTTATTGAATTAAAAAAAATTGTTTTTATTTTTTGTAAAATATCAGTGCCATAGGCTTTAATTCTGTTCACCTGTTACACCCCATTTTATTCCAGACGGTTAAAATAGTCATATAGTATAATAGGCTGTAACTTTAACAAAGAGGGTATCCATTAACTACGTGTGGGTGTCGAGGGATGGGGAAAGGGGTTGAGCCGAATTCCATCCAATCTTACGTGGGGTAGAAAGAGGTTCGCGACAAATTATCACGTAATTTTTATTAGTAATTTTTGCAAGAAACAACGTAAATCTTTCGAGAAAATTGGGTTAAAATGTGGTTAAATTTTTTACAGTAATATTTATGTGGTTTTGCGAACTCTATAAATTATAAAAAAATAATTAAGAAAATTATATATTTTTTTAAATAAACCCGACGTATTTAAGCACCGATTTACTCCAAAAATACTCATTTCGAAAAATTTACGTAAGATTGTGGGGGTGGGGGAGTGAGAGGGTCGAGGCATATCTCACGACATTCCACCTGAGGGAAGGGGGGGGGGGGGGGGTAGAAAAATCGCTATAATCGTCTCACGTACTTAATGGACAAGCCTTAATCACTACGGTACTAAATTACGATGATACGTATCTAATGTGGTATGTCTTTTAATTTTTAAGTGGATAGTTACTTAAGGTAACTATTCTAACATCTTAAATAAAGTTTTTTTTTAATACGATAAGGGTGACGAACGAGTATAATAATGTCCACTTGATGGTATGTGAAAGCTGTGGCCCAAAGATATTTATATATATCTGTCGTTGATTGAGAATCAAAATTTAGATGTGTTTTCAACTCTCAAAACTAAGTTGGAATGCTTCGTTTTTAGAAAAATGGTTGCTGGTTCTCTATATTCGCTGTAGCATATTAACATGGCATCATTATGCTCTTAATCTGTGAAGCCATTTGTTCTATAATCATAATATAGCTGCAGCCTGGTTCTAGCACGTGAGCCACGTGTTGAAACATGTGGTTAACGTGTGTGTAACAACGTGGTTAAGGAACGAGCATATAATTGTGTTACAGAGATGTTGGGTGCGAAGCTATCTGCGGAGAGCGATCCGTCGTTACGTGCCGCGGGTGCGCTGTGCTACGTGTGCGCGGCGCGTGAGCACGTGCCGCTAGTGGGGCGTGGCGTGCGAGACGCCGGTGCGCTGGCGCAGCGCGCGGAGCTAGCGCTGCTGCTGCGCCGCGCCGCCGCGGCACGGGGACGTACACCGCAGGTATGTTGTGCTACGTGTGCTACGTGTGCGCAACGCGCGAGCACGTACCGTTAGTGGGGCGTGGCGTGCGAGACGCCGGTGCGCTGGCGCAGCGCGTGGAGCTAGCGCTGCTGCTGCGCCGCGCCGCCGCGGCACGGAGACGTATACCGCAGGTATGTTGTGCTACGTGTGCTACGTGTGAGCGGCGCGCGAGCACGTGCTGTTAGTGGGGCGTGGCGGGCGAGACGCCGGTGCGCTGGCGCAGCGCGCGGAGCTAGCGCTGCTGCTGCGCCGCGCCGCCGCGGCACGGGGACGTACACCGCAGGTATGTTGTGCTACGTGTGCTACGTGTGCGCGGCGCGCGAGCACGTGCCGTTAGTGGGGCGTGGCGGGCGAGACGCCGGTGCGCTGGCGCAGCGCGCGGAGCTAGCGCTGCTGCTGCGCCGCGCCGCCGCTGCACGGGGACGTGTACCGTAGGTATGTTGAGCTACGTGTGCGCGGCGCGCGAGCACGTGCCGTTAGTGGGGCGTGGCGGGCGAGACGCTGGTGCGCTGACCCAGCGCGCGGAGCTAGCGCTGCTGCTGCGCCGCGCCGCTGCGGCACGGAGACGTATACCGCAAGTATGTTGTGCTACGTGTGCTACGTGTGCGCGGCGCGCGAGCACGTGCCGTTAGTGGGGCGTGGCGGGCGAGACGCCGGTGCGCTGGCGCAGCGCGCGGAACTAGCGCTGCTGCTGCGTCGCGCCGCTGCGGCACGGAGACGTATACCGCAAGTATGTTATGCTACGTGTGCGCGACGCGCGAGCACGTGCCGTTAGTAGGGCGTGGCGGGCGAGACGCCGATGCGCTGGCGCAGCGCGCGGAGCTAGCGCTGCTGCTGCGCCGCGCCGCCGCGGCACGGAGACGTATACCGCAGGTATGTTGTGCTACGTGTGCTACGTGTGCGCGGCGCGCGAGCTCGTGCCGTTAGTGGGGCGTGGCGGGCGAGACGCTGGTGCGCTGATCCAGCGCGAGCTAGCGCTGCTGCTGCGCCGCGCCGCCGCGGCACGGGGACGTACACCGCAGGTAAGTTGTGCTACGTGTGCTACGTATGCTACTGCTACTAGTAGCGCGCAATCTCCTAGTTTACCTCTTTTACCTCTTACGACCGAGCCGAGCGAGCGGGTGAGAGCCGTGTTAGCTCAGATAGTTAACGCTCGCTGTAAATATAACAGAACGCGAGTAACCCGGGTTCGATCCCCGCCGGCACCAATGAAATTGTTAATTGCAATTTTGACGGCTGATTTACCACGTGCTCGGCGGTGAAGGAAAACATCGTAAGGAAACCTGCATGTCTGAGGAATAAGAAAAAAATATTTCGAAGACATGTGAAATTCGCCAACACGCATTGGGGCAGCGCGGCGGACACTTCCTTGCCCTAAAACCCTCTCAGAAATTAGGGGGGGCCTATGCCCAGCAGTGGGACGTATATAGGCTGTAACTTTACTTTACTAACTTTACTTCTTTCGATTCCCACGGAACAATAAAACGGGATGATGTTGGTAGTAGTACCAACATCATCCTGTTTTACACCTCTTTTTACACCACAGATATATACGGGTAACGGTTTCTCATTTGTCTTAAATAAACGTTTACGGCCACTGTCATTTGAGTTATCAGGTCATATATTGTCTATCTGTCTCGCTCACTCGTTAAGCTTACGAAGTACCATAGTGATATGCGTAGTAGTTTCGAGTGTACATCGGTAAATTACAACGTTGTCATTTTTATCGACTCATTTTTACTACAACTAAAATATAATAATATAAAATTAACACATCAAAAATATAGCAATTATTATTTCAATATATTTTTAAACGACCTCCCCTTTTCTTATCAGTCTGGACGTCTATCGCTAAGTTTAACTTAACGTAACTTAACGTAACGTAAGTCACTTCGGCGGTCAGCCGCCGTAGAGTCTACATCACCTGAGGATGCCTCGTGTAGAGGCGAAACACGTGTTGTATTATCGTCGATGGTGTGTCTTTCCTGGAATAGTGGTGTTGGAAGTAGTGGTGCCGGGAGTAGTGATGTTGGGAGTAGTGGTGCTGGGACTAGTGGTGACGGAGTTAGTGCACGCAATTGAGGGAGGACGGGAGGTGCTCTTCAATCCAGGTAAGACACATCATTGTATTTAGTTAACGGAAGGTTGCAAATTAATCAATATCTTTATTATAATGGATTTCCGCAAAGTAACGCCTGATTCTATTAATTAGATTATTAATGCTTTACACGCTTGATAATGTAAAAATTATGTCTCATTGTGGTGTTACTTTTTCTCAGGAAGACAAATTGGACATGTCTTTGAATGAGTACGCGAATCGACTCGCTGAGCAGGGCTGCCTACAAAGTGCTTTAGCTGCACTGCAGGGAACTCAGCACGAACTGGCACACCGTCTGCAGAGAGCACTTGGCCTGCTGCAGAACGAGCGTGGAGCGGCACAGGTTTGCTTCTTTCGTTTAAATTTCTAAATTATCATATTTATTGTTTAACATATTAATTATAATAATAACTTCTTGGTTTTCATTCATAATTATTTTTATTTCTTCATTTTATCAAAAAGTCAATATTTAGAGGGCCCGTGTTGTTTCAAATTCAAATCACTGTGTCGGGTGTAAACAACAAATAAATCCAACAAATAAATTTGTAAGAATAGTAAATACAAATTAATTGGTAAAAGTGCACTAGATAATAGTCGATTATCATCGCCAGTATGCTTAAACTTAGACGCCTAAATAGATGTCTTTTTTGATAGACTAATTGGTTTTATTTTAATAAGATACATGATCTTTGTCGCCATAATATCATTAAGAATGGCACAGTCTTACGATGTATTCGTCCTTGCATCTGCAGGTGGGCACGCAGCATCAGCGCCAGCATCAGTATGGCGCGCACACTGCTGCGCACGTGCAGTCACGCACACACGCACACCCCACGACACACAACGACCTCGCTAATGCATTCGGACCGGGTCGGTATAGTATGGATATTTTATATTGTTGTTACTATTCGTCAATTGAAACAGGCAAGGATCTTAGACCATACAGCCCGGTTTGACGTGTATTTTGTTCACAAAATTTTTCACAATATGCTGATGCGTCATGTTGCCAAGTTTTCGACGACAGCTTAACCTAGCGGACAGTTAATGGTGACAGTATCTCTTAGTCGCCTAAGCGGATAAAAACTTGATATTTAATATCATCCTCGAAAGAATTGTATCATCGTTTCCACTAATTGTTTATTTGCGTAAATATTTAATATACAAAATTGAATCTTTCTTACGTCATAAAAATCTAAATATTTGTCATTTGTCAAAAAAATCATATTTGTCGCAACGGCATTGATCGAGCTTATCTCGAGTCAATAATTTCAAACAGTACACACCTTTCTTTTCTTTAAAAAAAACGTTACCCCTACACTAGGATTTTCTCCTGTATCGTAGTTTACAAACATAAAATGCACAAGGACACACATACCCGGAACAATTATTTGTAGGCCATACAAATACTTGTTCCGTGCGGAATGCAAACCCGTGGCCCACAGCGCTACCACCCATTGCTAAGCCATTGCGCCACGGAGCCTTCAACAAACACTTTTTATAAAACGCTTGTAACTTGGGTAACATGTTCTAAATCCAAAATTTGTCGTTTTTGTAGATTTTTAGTACTTTTTCTGCATAATCTGGGCTAGTCCATATGGCAAGCATGCAGACATTTTTATTGTCTATTATTTTTTCTTCAGAGATAGGATATTTCTTTTTTTACGTTTGGCATTTGGTTTACGACTGGTCAGAAAACTTAGCTACAGTCAAAATAACTATAATGAGTTAACTATCTGGTATAATAATAACGTGCGAAATTTGTAATAATTTAAATATACTGTACGAAAGTAAATACTGCCAAAGATTAAAAACAGCGGGCGTAGTTGACGATGCTCTACACAGAATAGCAGCGCCACGGTCATCGACGCACACTACGATAATATCGAAACGAGACGGAAAACGTGAAATCAAGTGACACAGGCTAGAATACTAGCGCAGGGAAATTTATGGTAGTTTTATTTAATTAATTTAAAAATAATAGTAATGATTTAAAAAGTAAAAAGAGTATAGTATAGTTTAAGCAAATGTTGATGATTATTTTGATTTTACGTCAAAATAATGTATAACTTTGGAGATATTGGCGCTTGTATCGAAGCTTTTTCGGTCGTCAATTGATTTATGTCGATTTTTTTTCCTTACTTGAAAGGCATATAACGAAAATGTATATTATCATTAGCAAAGTATAGGATATTTGTAAGATTATAAATATTTTTTTGATGGTCGATATTCAATAAAATCTATAAATTGGAGCTCCCAAATCATAACCCTCAGAGTTTTGGCCTAAACATGCATCGGGAGAATGATTATTACTAAATAAATAAATAAGTTATCTAAAATTTGCTTGAGCTTATTGTAGTAGAGAAAACGAACTATTTTTACCAAGGAATTGTTATATTAAGCAACGAACGGAAAACATTATTTCAACGACTCAGGAAAAATAATATCTTACGCAGATGATACCGTGCTTCTTTTTTCCGCAAATGCAGTAGACAAGGTTTATTTATGTGGTATTTTATACGTGGTAGAGCCATGCTGCAGTTATATTAGTAGTATAGTTGTAGCACGAATGGGTCGGCTCGACCGGGGAAGGACCACGCTCTCACAGAATACCAGCGTGAAATAGTAGCTTAATGCTGCTGTATTTCGTATGGTTAGTGTAGAGAACCGGAGACCCTTTTTACTGGAAACGAGGCATTCCATCTTAGTCCTCACGGGTGACAACGCATCTGCATTTTGATTCGTAATCGAGGATAGATGTAGATGTCTATGGGCCACAGCAACCACTTACCATCAGGTGGACTGTGTGCTCGTTTGTCACCCTATCCTATAAAAAAAAAATGTGCGCAGCGAGGTTTCGATAGGGTTAATAAATGGCTCCAACAAAATATATTAACACTGAATACAGACAAAACCAAATACATTCATTTTTCTATGCACACCTCAACTTAGCACAGGGGCGTAGCTTCCGCCGTATCAGCCGTATCAATGATACGTGTGTAATCAAAAATTCGTAAAATGTTATCCACAAACTCACTTAAACTCTTAGGCCGTATTTCCGAGAAAAAATCATATCATCAAATAATGCACAACGTGCCTAAAGAAGACCTGTCAGAAATTGTCCAATTTTCTGTAGTTTTTCGATACATCTCGATAACAGAAAATTATGATAATGTACCTAAGAAATATTAACCTTTATTTATAAACATATTACAAGCACAAAATTTACAGTGGTTATTAGCCCCTAAGCTGAAAAACTCTACCTACTTTCAGGGGCTAAATTAATATTTGATAGATGAGTTAGACGCGGTGCATAATCGGAATTCATATATATTATTTTTCTTTCGATTTTCTTCCTTTGCTGTGTACAGTCATTTATAGAAATATGATAAAAAACTGGCCCAATATACTTAGTAGACATTATCAATAAAAATTTATACATATATTTTATTTGAAAGGTCAACGACGAAATAAAAGGCCTACATCACAGAATTACAAATTCATTGAAATCTGAAAAAGCTGAGCGAGTCCAGGGATAAGCAAAAGAGTGGGAGGTAAAAACTGCTTACAAAAATAAAAGAAATAAGATAAAAAAGCGTTTTTTTAATATGAAGAATATCAGAAGGTGAGAGAATTTCATACCCGGAATCAAACTTCAAAGTCAATGTGTACCTACTATTGCTGTTCAGATATATTAATGTCTAAAACTAAACAGCTCTAGAGCCTCTGAGACCTAGGTAATGTATTCGAAGTATTACACCCGGAGAAACTCTTATCTTTTTCAAACGAAATGTTCGAAGTATTACAACAAGAGAAACTCAGCTGACAGAAGTTTTTTGAAATAAAACTGATAAAAAATGAACTGAGTACCTCCATGGCACAGAACAGACTGTCGAACTTGACACTATTATCTATCTAGGCAGGCAGTTATGACCGATGACGAGACGTTCGCCATTATAATGGGTCGGGTAAAAAGTTTCTTCGTATTTTGTTTGTATAAAATTGAAGAAAATCTCTTTGGTTATATTATTTGTATCTGGCTGGTTTTAATATCAATACATATAGGACATTAAGAAAAATAGAAGAAAAGAGTAAAAAGCACTGCCGCCATTTTTCAATTGTTTTTCTGTCTGCAAATATTAGGGAATACAACGAAGAAATTCGACACTTTCTGAAGTTTTATTACAAAAAAGGATGCTGCTCGTTCTGGTCACCTTCATAGGAATAAAGTTGATGCCTTTTTTTAAAAGGTGGAGGAAGTAGCTCTACAACATAGCCGAGGAATTGAAGATTGACCACAAACATCGTAAACTATTGTTTGTTTTTAAAAAGATTCATTCTTGTGCTGATATTAAGGTAGTAAAGCAAGTATATTTCGCATTATGTCCATCAACTCTCACCTATTGTGTAACCTCATGGGGAGAGGCAGCTAAAACTACACTGCTACTATTGGAACGCTCTCAAAGAGCTGTATTAAAAGCCGTAACATTCCGCACTATCCTATTCCCGTCTCATCTTTTATATAAATCTTATAATGTCCACTCATTGCACCAGTTATTCATTATGAGTACGTTACTAAAACATCACTTAAAATTGCCCTACAGAAGAGAGGTCACTGATAAAAGACGCAAAGATAAAGTAATTAATTGAAACTAACATTAGAACAAGGCATTCTTTCATGCATAGATTTTTTACACTCCTTGGCCTTTTTGTGTATCAAAAATGTCAGATTGTAAAAATGTAATTCGAACAATGTTACAAAATTTGTCATACGATGATAGGGAAAAGTTGCTGATTGTTTTGAGTTAATTAATATGATAAGTAAATTATTGATACTATATTTTACCGAAATAATCCTAATTATAGTCAACCAAATCTAAGAAATACATTTTGACAGCTGTCAGACTTATTGCACCAAGCATGCCAACCAAAAAATTGGAACGTACAATATTTGATTCTTAAAAAAATCGATATCGATTATTTAGAGTTGATAATCATTTAAGTTTGGTTTGATTAATACTAGAATAAATTAAAAACGGATAATTTAAAACACAAGATGTATCAGTTTCTTCGTATTTGTTGTTACTACTTATTTCTAGAGGCACAGTTATAAAAATTTAAGATTGAAACTAGAGTAAAAATAAATTTATTCAATCACTTTCAGTACAACTAGTAGAGATGTCGTTGTTGATATTAATTATATATTAATTATTATTTGACTTGCAATAATGCAGTCAAAATTAATATCTTTTTCAAAGTCATCCATAATCATTTTTTTTTGTTTTTTCTACCGCTTGTGCGTGCCACATGCTTCAACGAAATTTTTTTATATAGCATTGGGTGACAAACGAGCACACAGTCCACCTGATGGTGCCCATAACATCTACATCTATCTTCGATTACGAATCAAAATGCATATGCGTTGTCACCCGTGAGGACTAAGACAGAATGCCTCGTTTCCAGTAAAAGAGGTCTCCGGTTATCTACATTCACCATACCAAACACAGTAGCATTAAGCTACTATTTTACGTTGGTATTCTGTGAGAGCGTGGTCCTGCCCCGGTTGAGATTACCCATTCGTGCTACAATTATAATATTGATGTAGCGTGGCTCTACCACGTACAAAAAGTTATAGAAAAAACAATCCAAAAAGTTAAAGCCGCAGTCACAAAATCACAAAATTACGCACAGTAATCTCTCGTAACAGAAACAGAAACAGAAACTTGTTTATTCAATATAGATTATGAATAATACTTAATGAAAGTAATTTTTTTTCATTTACCACTGGTTTGCCAAAAAAACTGTCCTGGGAAGAACCAGCAAGAAACCCAACGAGACTAGTTTTTTTTTCAAAAAAAAAAAAGAGCTTACAATCACGAGTGTTACAATTAACAACACAAAACAAATTAGAAATAGCTTGGTAGAGATCAACCTTCCCTGGGGTTATTATCATCCATAAATTCCTTAATATTATAATAACCGTTTTTATACAAACTTAGTTTAATAAAGTTTTTGAACTTTGTGTGTACTTAAGTCAAATTTTGTATACTTTTTGGGATTTTATTGTAAAGTTTGTACCGAAATGGCGGGATATTGAAATTATGTAGTGGTTATTTTATCACATATGAGATTTTTGCCTACACAAACTTACTTTGACAAAGGGAAAACAATAAATTGTTTTATTCATGTAATTTAAGGAATTTCGAAAATAAAATTTAATTTAACAAATAATACATTAAAAAATTAATGAATCGATTATTTGAATTTTTTACATGTAATGTACATAGCGACATATCATTGAAACAACGTAAAGTAAAAAAAAACTTATTGAGGTTATTTTTTAATATTTTGCTTTGTCTGAAAGATTCAAATTTAAATAAGTGATAAAAAACTATACACGTTGTAATGAAATATAGATAACTTCATAATTCTTCGGATTTACGTAAAAGGTTATTTTAAATCGTGTGAGTACGCTTGTGCAAAGTTATTGCGGAATGATTAATGTGAAACGTCAAAAGGTATTTCTATATAAGATAGATTTTCTGATTCTTATATTATATACAAATCAGAAAATATTTTTAATGTATCTATTAGTATCCACACCTGAGATACAGTTTATCCTAGTTCAGGTGCCTGTTATTGTAGACTAATTTAAATTAAGACACTATTTGGATTAATTGTACATTTTATTGAAATAAAAATTATTATTACTACTATTACTATTCCACGCTGGGACGGTGGCGCTACGTAAATCGAAAATCCATCCACCGTGGATGGGCTGAAGCTCGAAGGGTTATTTAACAACACGTTATTTAACAGCATTACATGTGGTGACGTCATATATTTTTGTGGCAGGTGTGGCAGCGGCGGGCGAGCCGGGCTGGCAGCAGCCCGCGCGCCCCGCCAGCGTGGGTACGCCGCACGGTACGTCCGCTCACTTGCCATCTCACCTTCTAGAAATTTGTTTAAAACGGTCAAAAATCAGGCAAAATTAAAAAAAAAACAACTTACTGGATGACCTTTTTACCGTCTGGACTAAGTAGGGTATATGTCACATGTGAACGGAATAGAAGCATATGGCATTGATATTCTACAAAAAATAGAAACAAAATTTTAAATAAATAAATAAATTAAAATCTATCGAAATTCAAATCATATCCACCCTACTTTACGATCGGCAATAAAATAATACATTTAGTAGGCATTTTTGACCTTGCCACTTCGCAGGGTCACAGGCTCAAGAGCAAAGGGCAAAATAATTGCTCAATTTTTTTTGAAATGTTTAATTAACAGTGCTATAGGCTTTTAATCCGTTCACATGTTACACCCCATTTTTTTCCAGACGGTACAAGTTACAGTTCCAGTACAGAGGACTAGACAATTCATGTGTGTGAGCACTGAGGGACCAAGCTGGGAATTAGCGAAATGAATTGCTAAGGATTTAGTAGTAGGCCTAAACAATAATTGTAAAACGAATCCTGAAATTTGTAAAAGAATATACAAAAAGTTACAGCCCTTACAGTGTGGCCTCTCAGGTGACAGACTATCAGCCAGATCTCGGAAAGCATCTTAAGAACGAAGTTAATGTGATTACAGATATTTAGTAAAGAATTTGTAAAGATTATTTTACGAAATAACAAGACACAATGTGTTAAAAATAAAAGAAATGAATTTCTAAACTGTGGTCCATCAGTCCACACAATGTTTTTTATACATTAGCGAAAATTACATATTTTATACACTATCCCGTACTTTTTCCAGTTAAGGTTTTAATAGAAGTCTTAAAGGATTTTGTAAAAAAAGAAATAGGGATAAACATTGGTGCAGTTTTAAGATAGATACTGTTAAAACTGGTCCTTCATTCTACACGTCTCCAGAAATATATTGTGTGCTTACTGAGTGACGAAAGGAATGTAGGAAGGTATAAATGTTCCTAACTTTTAGTAAAAATTTTCTACTAAATAATAGAAAACTTTGAATGTATATTGGTAACCTATTAACTCAGATAATCACATAAAAATTCTATGGAAATACACCGGTTAGTCTACACAACGAATTTGTTTTATTTTTCTCGAACACCTTTTTATTTTTTACTTAGGACGGAACGAAAATGAAAATTCGTATGTGATTTAGATTGTAGTTATCTTAAAACTACGCCAATATGTATCCCAATTTCTTTTTTTACAAAATCCTTTAAGACTTCTACTAAAAAAGTAATAATTTAATTAAGAAATTTTCACTAATGTATAAAAAATTGTGTGGACTGCGGGACCCACAGTTTAGATATTCGGTCTTTCTTATCTTTAACACATTGTGTCTTGTTACTTAGTAAAATAAGTTTTACAAATTCTTTACTAAATATCTGTAACCAATAACTTCATTTTTAAGATACTTTCCGAGATCTGGCTGATGACCACACTTTAAGGGTTGTAACTTTTTATTTGTTCTTCTGCAAAGTCCGGGATTCGTTCTACAATTGTTTTAGACCTACTACTAAATCCCTAGCAATTAATTTCGTGAACCCCCAGCTGGCCTCTCAGTGCTCACACACATGTTAATTCGAAGCTGGTATAACCACAAAACTCAGAAATAAGTGTCTCAGTATTTCCCAGCATACATAGGCTCTTACTTTAATTTTTATGATATTAGCAAGTTAATAAATAATATATTTAATCTATTCTATTGTTTTTAATTTTATTTATTTAGAATATTGTAACATTTGCCTTTAAATAAACAATAAACAAAGAGCATACCTGCGGAGTTTCTATCGAAGTTTCTCTATAGACGAGAAACATAAGATTGAAACGATAGTAGATTAAGGGTCTGTGCTCACAGATGGTACGGCATGAAAATGCGTGACAAAAGATTTTCGAACTTATTTTAATAAACTTAACACTGTAATTCTTTTATTCCGATAATAATTTACCGAAATGTCTCACGTAAAACCGCGGTATGCTGTTGCATATCACGTGAAGTAGGTTACTCCAAGTTGTTAAAGGAATGAGTGGAGTGTTTAATAATTGAAACAAGGTTGAATCTAGCCCGTTGCGGCGGAAATCTCAGTGACCCCGGACGCGACTGATTTTGTGACGACGTGGTTTGCTACAGGATCCTTTAGCATGCCATGGGGTGCCACAGGATCCTTTGGGGTGCCGTGGGATGCTACAGAATCCTTCGACATGCCGAAGTGTGCCTTTCCACGCCGTGCCATGCCGTGCCGTCTGTGAGTGCAGGCCCTAAAAACGCATTGACAAATTTTAATTTTTAACCACGAAAAGTAAAGTATTTTCATGATTAAAACTACTTTTACGGATTTTATCGCGTTTATTTTTACTTTTTATTTACTTTTATTTTTAATTCCCGACGTTTCGGGCGCTTTCCAGCACCCATGGTCACGGGCGACCGGGACCATGGGTGCTGGAAAGCGCCCGAAACGTCGGGAATTAAAAATAAAAGTAAATAAAAAGTAAAAATAAACGCGATAAAATCCGTAAAAGTAGTTTTAATCATGTATAGTGTTCGCGTAAATATAAGAAATCATTAAAGTATTTTCATTTCATTTCGTGTCATTTTAATTTAACAGGTGGGATAACAAGCCGATCGAAGTATAAAGTGGACCCGTCAGTCCAAGCCGCCCCCATGTACAACCAGTACAGTTACAACAACCCGGTGACGTCACAACCTCCCTCGTATGGCTTCAACAGCCCGCTGCCCGACCAGTACAGCGCGGCGAGCATACCCAACCCCGGCTACACCCCGGCCAACACTATCAACCCCATAAACCCCGCACCACTGAACCCAATGAATCCGCTCAATCCCACGCCGAACCCGCTAAACCCCACCCCAATGAACCCGTTAAATCACGCACCTATGAACCCCGGTACGATGAATCCACTGAACCCAATAAATCCACTAAACCCAATAAATCCAATAAACCCAATAAATCCACTAAATCCAATAAATCCAGTAAATTCAGTAGCAGCCAGCGTGGCCCCAGCCCAGGCTGCGAACGGCGGGTACTACGCACCCGCTAAGTCCGTGCCACCGGGATGGAATGACCCACCTATGATGACCTCAAAATCTAAGGTATATATTTGTTCTTAAATTGTAACGTTATGTCATTATTTTTTTATAAACATGCATTGATTCAGCTGAAATTGAACATTCTATATTTTTTTGCTGCTCACCTGTTCAATTTATATTTAATAATAATAATAATCTTATTATAGAAGTATTGAAAACAATTTTGTACTTTTGTGAAATAGGGTATTTTTCTGTTATTGATTGAAATTAAAGCGGTGTTATTTTAGCACGTAGGCACCGAAGAGATGTCGGCAATGCACGCCGGTACACGGCAGTGGGGCCACATTATTGAGAATAGGCGTCATGTAGAGGTACCTAGAGGTACGCTCAATGAAAAAAGTGTTTAAAATTGGTAATGATATTCACTTAAATATGATTTATCCTATTTAGAATGACTTTTCTAGTTTACTAGAAAAGGAATGGGAACGATAAATGTCATACAATGAATAAATAAATAAATAAAATGTCAACTTTAACTCTTCTAGCTTCTTCTTCTTTACTTTATGTCTTCTCTTAATAGAATTTTGCCAATGTTAAATCAGTCATAAAAAATTATAAATTATAATAATTTACTTTTTTCCTTGACCGTACCAATTAGCATGGCTGTTTATTTTATAACGGTTGAAACATGAATATTATACAAAAGCTGGTTCACAGTGATTTTGTAACAGGGTTTGAAGCATGCGTTTTTGTTTTTCAATCTTACTTCATCACTCACTGCTGTGTACGAATTCCCAGCAGTTAAACAAGTTAGTGTGTATCATATAAAATACCTGTAATTAGCAACCATATAATTGACGTGTAGTCGCCGTATAACAAAACTCGCTAGCGTATAGTACCCCGTAGATGTCGTAAGAGTCGACAGGGGAAAAATGAAAGAGGCGATGGGCAAAAGCATCTTACTGATAAAAAATCAATGATAAGAAACTAAGTTACAAAAACTGCATTTGTATACCCAGTGTTTGACGGGCTGTGTTCCATATTGAGCTGGGAATTAAGGTCTCATGTTTTTGTATGACTTATAACAAAAAAGAATGAGCCAACTGTGCTACTTGTCCAGCATCTAGAAGGCGACTAATGGTATATTGTGTTTGCGATTGTGTGTGCTGACAATCAACGACTTGTTTCACAATTTTTCATGTAAATCCATACTTTTTGCCTAAACGTGGTTCGAGTGGCTTGCTGTTCTTTGTGCTCTGCCTATCCCTCGGGATTACAGGCGTGACGTTATGTATACTTTTTAAGTATAACCATTGTTACATTTGTCCATAAAACCATTACATATTTCTGTTACAATTTATTTTTTATTATGTTGATCTGCCACTATAGATATCCCTTGATTTTCGTGGTGTGATTTTCGACTAACAGTGTGAACTTTTATGTCAGTTTTATTAAAAGTAAATTGTTGTACTCTTCATTCAACAAGAGAAAAAATATTATGATTTTCCATTGTTTTTTCCTTACCAAAGAATGCGAATAGTGGTTGTAACATACATTTTATTGCAATAAAATTTTCTACGAATTTGAGTGTTTAGGCACTCTAAAAGTATTATCTCGACCTGTAACTCAAACATCACAATGTCAATATTTTTGTAATATAATATGGTGTACATTCAGACTTTCACCTAGTGAAGCTGAGATTAAAGTGTAGATTGTCTCATAGTGTGATAGTTTTGTGGCGCATTGTAAGTTGTGAGTTGCCCGCAGCGGCAGACAGAGGGCGCGGTGCCGGCGGTCTCGCAGGCGCCCATCACGCACCCGCTGTTCGGTGCCGAGCCGCAGCACGTGCCGCTCATGCCGCACCAGCCCACGCCCACGCATATGCCCATGCCCATGCCCACGCCCACGCAAAACCCCACTCTGCAGCAGCCGTACACCAACCAGCAGCAGTTCTACCCCGAGCAGCCCAACTACGCGCCCTACGCGCAACAGGCACAGCCCGCGTACACGCAACAGGTATATGCAACTTTTTTTAACACGCTTAGTTTCGCGTGTATCTATCTATGTAACGGAATCTTTGAATGTAATTTTCACCAATTTTTAAACGGCCGATTAACTTGAAAATTTGCACCCGTCAAGGACCGATGACAATACAATAATTTCATGACTGACCTAGTATTCTCACCAGGATAATCACAACTCGTGATCAGTGCATCTCGTTTAAGTTTTTTAAATTCTTATATTATTTAAGTACAACTTTTTTCTCTTTTTTCGCTTAATATATTAGTACGGTATTAACAAATAGTTACATTTTCTTGTAACGCCTTACTGTCGAGGCTGCAAGAGTGTGCTATAATATTACTTAACCTTTTTATGTAAAATATAAAATAAAAGAAGAGTGATGTGTCGTAAAGAACTTTTACTTCCTACGTGTGTACACAATTACACGCACTTTTTTTATATATAACTCAAGTTTTACATGTGGTAAAGCCTTGCTGCAGCTATGTTATGGTTGCATAACGAATAGATCAGCTCGACCGGGGTAGGATCATGCTCTCACAGAATATCAGCGGAAATAGCAGCTTAATGCTGCTATGTTTCGTATGGTGAGTATATACTACCGGAGATCATTTTTAGTAGAAACGAGGCATTGCATTTTAGGAGTTACAACTCATCTGTTTCTTTATTCTTAATCGGGGATAAACTAACACAGCATCCACTTTAACATCAGGTAGACTGTGTACTTGTTTGACACCCTTATTCCATAAAAAAGTAAAAAACGAACTTACAGGCCACCTGATGGTAAGTGGGTTGGTACTGCTGCAGTCCATGAACACCTGCAGTTAACTTCAAGAGAGGAAAGCTACAGATGCCTTGTCACTTCTGGGAACTATGATGGAACGTCTCACACCCTGCTCTCTGTACTTGGTCGCATGTGGTTTCACCACGATAGCACACCATAGAATTTCTTCCGTTTTGTAAGAATTGTTTTGGTTACTGAATTCGGTGAAAGATGTATTGGCCGTGGTGGACCGGTCAACTGTCCGGCGCGATCACCTGATCTAGATAAAAATCTCTGGGGCATGATTAAGCAGTCTGCATTCCAAAAAACGATGCGATATCGAGGCGGTAATGCGTATCGTATATAGTCGCATCCTTTGAAAGAATAACGTCCGAAATATCTCTTATGCAACGCGTGCGATCAGACATTGTAAGCCGTTGTCATAAATGCATAGAAATACAAGGTGGACACATTGAACAACATCTTCGTGGTCGTCAAATAGACATAGTGATGAATTAGTGTGTGTGCAAAACTTACACAATCTGTCGAAATAAAATTTTAAAAGTTGTGATAATCGACTACTAAAGTGATAACACCTGAGTCAGGCCTCTATCATTCTTGCTACCTGCGTGAAATAATTACCTAAAAGCGCGACGCGCCCGGGCGAAATAACGCAGTCAGGGCTAGTGCGTTGGAGGCGATTGAATGTTATTTTTTAACGCTGTTTACGTAAATAGTTTTATGTAAATAGTTGTTGAAATAGTTTTTGTTTAGTGTTTAGTATATTTAATTGTAGGTAAAAATAGTTGTAAAAGTTTTAATGTATTTTAAAAATTATATAATATGTATATTACCATAAATTTTCTTTGTCACTCTTTCCTCATTCATTCTTTCCACATGACCAAACCACCGAAGCATTCCTTTCTTAATCCTGTTCACAACATCATCTTGCAAACCACACTCTTCTCTTATTACACAATTTCTTACCCTGTCATTCAGATTCAACCCTAAGATACTCCTTAACGACGAGTGAATGGCAGAGTCGGAAAGGGACGTCCTAGGCGAAAATTTATCGACCAAATTGGCGATTTATTGAAAACGGGCCAAATTAGGAGTACCCTTAACCGACAAGCATGTATGCGTAGGTGTATGGATGTGAAGGAGGCGAGAGAGGTGTGTCAGGATCGTGCCAAATGGAAGTCTGTAGTCTCTGCCTACCCCTCTGGGTGACAGGCGTGAGTGTTTATGTATGTATGTATATTACCTATTTGATAAATTATAATAGCAAAACGTCGTTCCAACTATAACTGTTGCTTAGATGGATACTAAATGAAATGACTGACAAAAGGTTTCATGTCATTCTTTAAGTTACCGAAGAATTTTAGAAGGAAGTTATGAAAGGTGAATTTATTTCATTTTTTTGTTAGATAGGTACTCACAGCAAAAAAAGAATTAAGTAATAATTTGGTCTAAAGAAGAAATACCTAAGTACTTCATTACAAAAATTTGTTAAAATTTACTTCACTATCCAAGTATTTACTTACATACCTATACTTGTCTTTTGTAATTAAAATATTTTGAGTTATAATAACACAAAAATAAAATTTTACTGAAATTAAAACTTTGTATACTAACAATATTTTTAACTAAGTAGAATAGATCACATTTATGTTAGAAATCGTATTTCAGGTTTATTTGTTGTTTACACTATCTACCTATTTCTCCCAAGCGTTACGATTCCCGACGAATGACCTTGCAATTTGCATGCGTTAGGCATCGCAGAACTCACATATGGGCGAAAGTATGGTTAGTCAATCATAGTCAGAATATTAGTTAGTACTTCACTTAAGTAACATAACTAACATTTCGCAATGTATTTTTTTACTTTCTATTGACATCCCTTAATAACCACGGAAAGTCCGCCGTGACAAAAAAAGATGCAAAGTAATATGGACACTAGCGCGCAGCGATACAGTTTTATTTAGCTTGCGTGTGCGATTTATCTGATTAATAATAATTATGTAGGCTATTAAACGTCTGTAAGCGGTCGACATCAAAGGAGTGCAACTTCTGTACGTAGTACTATTATTTATTCTGTGGCTGAGTGATGTAACGAGGTCACGACCTTCAGATTAGAATGGTTGAAGAATAGTTGCAATTTAAACTAACTTCCGGATGAGCTAGAAACTTGAAATTTTAAACATAGCTCAGAATTAAATGTAAGAATATGAAAAACTTGTGGTATATTAATTTCTTTTTATTTTAGGTTGAAAGTCAACCGCCGCCTGAACCTACTCCCGTGCAGAAGCCGCCCATCCCGCAGGAGCACGCCGTCATCCAGGCGGTGTTCGACGGTCTGCATGCGGACTGCTGTCAAAGAGCTTCCAACCCTGTTAGTAACCATCTTATCTCTCGTCTGACAGTTCATCATTCGAAAGTCATCTATGTGTACTATAATACCGGCAATTTAGAACGAAAACTGTGTTACAAGCGTGGATCGCGCGGGCGGGTAGTTGCCACAGTAAACATGCCACACATATATGCATGTGTATTTTCATTTTTGACAGTTACTGTTCTTAGGCAAATACGAAATAAAGTCACATTCTTATCAGAAACAAACTTCATATCATGTTGACAAAGTGCGCACGTAATGACAGCGTTTTTTTAGTCTCATTTAACAAAATCAGTGTTAGATTGTCGGAAACATGCGCGGTTTACAAAACAAAGACTAGTCTTATAGCTCACTCGCATTCTAAAAGAGTAACGGAGAATCGACCGTAAATGAGTTTGCATTGTATTCGTACTGTAGTGCCTATATATTGGTATACATAGAAGTCTTTGTTTCCTTCCATGGTTTTACTTATTGAACAATTCACGTAAGATGTCATGACGAGAAAGTTAAATTGTTAGAAAAGTGTAGAGATTAATGATTCTTTACAAATGTTAGTTATATTTTGTATTAATAAGACTAGAAAAGGATATACCATTTTTTAATTATTGTTTATGGTCTTGGTTTGGGTTTAATTAAAAAAGTTGAAGGTATTCCGGGTTTAACAATGACATCGGGACGTCAGTCATCTCAGTCCCCCGTGACCATGGGTGCTAGAAAGCGCCCGAAACGTCGGGAATTAAAAATAATAGTAAAATAAACGCGATAAAATCCGTAAAAGTAGTTTTAATCAATGTGTAGTGTTCGCGTAAATATAAGAAATCATTATCTAAAACACAAGTTCTCATTGCAGAATTATGACTGACAGTACCTCGGTACCAACAAGGGAAAATTACTACACTTCATATCCACGCTAGGCAGGCAGAATGATTGATATTCGCAGCACCATATGTGAGCATCTGGCCGCCCATCGCCTATTTAAATATAGTACGTAGCAAACGGGATGGTTATATCTATCAGAAGTTCATATTATGATTCTTTTAGACCGTCACCGTCACACACGGTGTATTACATTGAAACCTAGAAAATTCTCATATCAAAAAATATATTGTATTGGAAGATATAGACTAATGTGATCTTAAAGTCTGTGTTTAGTTAGATATTATTTTATGGAAATACCTCCTTTTTATTACTAAAAATGTAAGATTTTCATATTTTTCATCCTCAGCAAATGAAGAGAAAACTGGAAGATATCCAAAGGAGGCTAGAGATGCTGTATGACTTACTACGCGAACACAAGGTAATTATTATTTTCTTCTGCATAAATACAGAAACTTGTTGTGTTCAATCTCTTGAAGTAACTTTTATTTACCTTGGTATAAACTATCCCTTGTATTATTCCAGGACATGACTAATAACGAATCTATTTAAAATTTTATGGAAATACGTTTAATTTTTAATTCGTGATAGATTATGAAATATCCAAAAGCGACAATCGTTAAGCATTAGCCTATACTCAAACAAATCTAAGAAATACCTTTTGAGAGCTGTCAGTCTTATTGGACTAGGCATGCCAAACAAAACATCGGTACGTACAATATTCGATTTCGTAGGATATGATAGGTATCATTTCGTATGGTTTACTAAAAATAACACTTCAAAGGATTTAATGGCAAATGATGATTTATTTAATATGATAATTTTCAACCACCTTATTTTATAATTATATAATTATAAGATAAAAGTTTAATTTTGAAGCACATAAACGTTACAATCCTTATTTTTAGACATATAAAGTCTAAATTTTAGTGTACTAAATCAAAACAATATTTTCTTTCCACTAATATTGCTTTGCTTTGTAATTAAGAGCGCCATCTACTTCGTTCTATACTTAGAGATTCAATTCATTCTCATTTTATCGGTGTCGAACCCAAATTGATGAGACTCTCAAGGTACACACAATACATGCTAGAAGACCTAAACAAAAATTCAATATCAATCATTAAGATGAAATTGCAAGGAGTGAAATTTAAAAATAAACGAATTCATTAAATAAATAAAAAATAATAATATTGAATGAAGTTATCATGTTTGTCCAATTCATTCACAATATACCCACCAATTTTTATTCCAGTTTTATGTTTATACCATATAGCGTCTATTGTACTTACCACCTTAAAAGCCAATAAATTTTTGTTCGATTAAATGACTTTATCACCTATAGCATGTAGATGGCGCTATTACAAAGTCAAACAGAAAATTTTCGGTTCCCAATTGATCTCACAGACTCACAGAGTACTGGAGCCCAAAATGATCCATTTGAATGATCGATTTGAATGTACCGGTAGGCGTGACGAAATGGACTACAATTATTCGGTCACTAGAAATGAATGATTGCCACGTCTAGTTGGGATTATCCGGTGAGAAGCAAACCCGCTCCCAACAGTGGCAGCAATCAGAACAGATAATGGTCCGAGGAGCCTAAAAGGGCGTTGCCGCGAACAGATATCCGTCCGGATGTGAGGTCAGGAGATGGTCAAACATCTGGAATTCTGGAGTAACTAAGTTGTTTTACCACCTCTCGGTAGCAAGGACAGGCTACGTCGAACTCACATAGACTAAAACCCAACGGTGTTCTTTCACCTTCGCTGCATATTGGCAGGGCCACGGAGACAATTTCGCACATATAAGCGGCTCCACTAGCGCCAGCCTCTCCATTTCAGCTCCTCCTCCGAAGAGGACTTCTCTTACTTCTCCTTCTCAGGTAAGGCGCACGAGGAACCCAAGGCGCATTTTCCTTCGCGGCTTCAAGCTCCACTAGCGCAACGAATCTTCCCCTCCCCATCCCCGAGTCCGATACGCGGAAGTCAAGGGATCAGGGAAAAATTTGCACTTGAAAACATCAGCTTTCTTGACCCCAGCCAGAGCTACAGACCAAATCCGCTGGCAACGAAGTTCGACAATCGCAATAGCGACACTCCTCTCTTCCCGCGGCCCCTCAGAGCAGAGGAGGATAAGGCGAGTGGCGCATCGCAGAAACAAACATCAAAGAACGCCATACCAACACTACTCCCCGCAACTTTACCTCGGCTGCAGCGTTAGGGGCAGAGGATACACGTCTAGCCGCAACTCACAAACACATCGCAGTGGCCACCTCGATCCGGTCCTTCACCTCGGGTCAGCCGTATGGGTTCCTTTTAGATCATCATGGATGACCAAGCCAACCCCGCGACTTGACAAGGGGGCAACCCTGCCTACTTCTACTTAACAAGCGAAACGCAGAAACAAAGCTTGTATTTTACGCTGGTATTATGCGAGGTCGTATTACTTCCCCGGTTCGAGTCGGCCCGTCCATGCAACAGTAGAAGCTGCCATGTGGCTATACCACTATTATAATATTGTTTGAGGCGGCGCCAATTCTGGGTCGCCTTTCACCTTTATACATTCTGGTGAACATGGGCACGAGGGTGTATGACCAGTCGTCTCCTCTGCTGGAGTGGCGAAAGTGCGACAGATGAGGTGTTCAAAAGGGTTAAGCGACAGGAACGAGTTAATGCATACGCAGTGTGGTGCGTTCGTCTTTGTGAGGACGGTTATGCGCGCAAACGCGATGTTGAAGTAGTCGTGCTGTACTTCGAAGCCTGGATGCATGTACAGACTACAGACTTACACATATACTTAACGGATGCTTTAGTTATTATTTGTGTAAGATCGGATTCGATGTGATGGCGAACTGTTTTCACTACGGTAGGCGGGGCTTGGACTCCGCGTCTCCTGCGCTCGCGATATGTCTAGCGTGGGAACTGAAGCTGATGATTCTGGTGAACCTGTCCATGTTAGCAGTCACGTTGGCGATGATGGCCGGAGTCATCTTTTATTGTGGTTGCGTTAAGAATGGTATCTTGGGACCTCTCGTATTCGCTGATTATGACCGGGATGGTGTTTTAGTCGTTAGAAATCAGCTATAACTATTTCGTTGTCCCCGTAGCGGAGGGTATCCATGGGGATATCTTGACGATAAAATGTAAATGTTTATGGACCACAGCAATTACTTATAATCAGGTGGATTTTATGATAGTTTGTCATTATTGTCCTATTAAAAATTTAATTTGGCACAACGAATACGTAATTGTGTACTTTGGTCGGTGGCAGCTGTCTGGCGGCGCGTTGAGCGCGCTGCACGCGTGCGCGGAGAGCGCGCGCGGCGCGCAGTGGGAGGCGGCGCTGCGCGCGGCCGCGGCGCTGGCGGCTGGCGAGGACTTTGCGGCCGCCGCCTCCTTCCTGCCCGGCCTCAAGCTGTTGCTGCAGCTCGCCGCCCACGCGCACCAGCGTGTCACGTAGCGTGCCGCCCACAGCCTCCCTGCCGCCCGCACACATACATAATCACACACATATACCGCACACTCACATACAAGCCAAGAACTTCAACCGCCGCTTCCTTCCTACTTACTTCCTATCTAGCATCAACTGCCACCACACGCGCGCTACATAGCTGCAACGCTCACACACACTCTCTCTCTCTCACACACACACACACACACACACACACACACACACACACACACACACACACACACACACACACACACACACACACACACAAACACACACACACACACACACACACACACACACACACACACACACACACACACACACACACACACACACACGAACCAGGAACTTCACCATCGATTCCTTCCTGCTCACTTCCTGCCCAGCTTCAAGCTGCTGCTCTGCACGGCACACACACACCACACGCGCTGGAAGCCGAAAATGACTTCGTGGCTACCATCTTCTTCCTGCCGGGCCTCACACACATCCACACACAGACATATTTCCGTTCCTATACCGTCATTGAGATAATCACATCAAGGAACAAGTTACAAGTGACGCAAAAATCATGCTCCACTTCTTAACACGCACTCACGTACACGGCTCTTCTTTCTTTAACAGCCCATAAAAGCTTATTGCTCGATACATACATATGCATCTAAAACCATTCCAGTTGAAAAACATTTATGTGTATTAGAACATGATTATAGCTTAGTTTTTGCGTCATTTCAAATCTACGCAGCGTTCCGTCTTTCTTTATTTGTTGATCTGAGTTTATATAATAATATCGCGTAGATTTTGATACAATGAAAATATGACTTTGTATATTAAATATCTACTACGCGTTTGAATTATTATTAGAAACGATAAAATACGGTAGTATAAATTTCAAGTTATTCAATCTCCTTAAACACCATAATAACTTGGAATATTATCGTCATAGACTGTCTGCTGGCTCAAGTTGCCGTCAAATTCTCTCAAAAATATGGTCCTGTTGGTTACCCTTCGGGTAGGGAACCCTAAAAACTAATTGAAGTATTTAGTCTTCGGTCAAAATCATCAAAACGGTAGCCAATGCCGCAATAAAAAAATGACACTTAAAACTATGCACGCATTGAACGATACGATTAGCGACGATTCAAGTAATTGTAATCAATATCATTTTTAAAATGGTTTTATTATGTACTAAAATTATTATTAAATTATAATATCATTTTTATACAAATGTTTATTTACTATTATGTCAATATGCGTATCTTATCAAATTAATATTGTATTCTTTATTAGTTAGATCATAAATATAATACTTAACATAAATATGACATTTATTGTGGGTTTCGTGGTTATGTAGTCTAAATCTTATGATAACCCAACTAATAAGAACTCTATAAAGTATATCAAAATAGTTAATTATGTTCCTAGGTCAAAATCAAACGAAATAAACGTTACAGTATTTTAAACGAATTAAAACACCATGTATATCATAATTTCTACTTACCCTCAAAACAACAACGTTGCTTGACATAAGCCAATACCCTGTTCACCTTCTTCAAACAAAAGTTATTTCATTATATTATCATGTATAGAAATTACTAAATAAAATAAATTTTCTGTAGCTACTTAATGTATTTAATTGATATTTGTTTACAGTCAAAAATCACTGTAATGTTAGTAACATTGTATGAAACGAAGACAGCCTGTATATTGACAATGATCTACCAATACATGCAACCTTATATATGAAGAAATTGATTTTAAAGAACCCACATTAATTTTATTCTGATTTCACTTGTTAATGCGACGTCGACTATTAAATTTTTATCGTTTAGAACTGTGCACATTCATAGTATTGCCAGCACAAATGAAATTGATAGTTACATAAATTTTCGAGCGCAGACGTTTTGCACCTTTAACGTTGTTTTCTGTGGTATGTTTGGGTACTTTACGTCTGTTGTACACGAGATGGCTATAACGCTATTTCTCGGAAGTCAGGAGATTTTATGGCATTTCCAATGTCGCCTTTTACACCGCCATACGGAAATGGTATAGATATTTACATGTCACTGAAATCCATTATTCTATGAAAGTATAAACATGAGAACAGTGACGAATTGCTAGAATTTTATAATGCCATATTCATCCTTGATATATATTATAAATTTTTATATACTAGTTCCTGTTCATCGAATATGTTCAATAAAGTCGAGTCTCACGAAGTGAACTAGTAGCAAACTCACACCAATAAAGAAAGAAAGACCCTGCGTACATTTCAGGTGACGGACAAACCAAGCAAAGACCATGCTCAACTTACACTCACGTGCACATATGTAACTAAAATAATTTGCAAGGAACAACGTAGTTTTAGGAGCGCATGTGTATATAACTGCGCATACAACAGTGAACTTTTAGCTATGAAAGAAGAGAGATGTGTGCGATAATGTGTGTCAAGAAGTTGAGCATGGTTTTGACATCACTGAAACTGACACATTGCAATGTAAGCAGCGCTACGTCTATCTTTATTTCTTGGTCTGAAGCAGCAAAATGTAAAGACTCTTCCCACTGCATCGCTAACTTAGTAACGCATGTTTGTAATTGATAAATGAAATATTAAGATATTTAATTAATATATTTAATTAATCTTGTAATTATATTGTAAAAGATATTACTTAATATAAATATATTTTCAACGATCTAATGTATTTTATTTATATATCCGTGGTAGAGCCATGCTGCAGTTATATTAGTAGTATAGTTGTAGTACGAATGTGTCGGCTCGACCGGGGAAGGACCACGTTCTCACAGAATACCAGCGTAAAATAGCAGCTTAATGCTGCTGCGTTTCGTATGGTGAGTGTAGAGAACCGGAGACCCTTTTTACTGGAAACGAGGCATTCCATCTTAGTCCTCACGGGTGACAACGCATCTGCATTTTGATTTGTAATCGAGGATAGATGTAGATGTCTATGGGCCACAGCAACCACTTACCATCAGGTGGACTGTGTGTTCGTTTTTCACCTTAAGTTTATTCCCTTCTAGTAAAAGACCGCAATATACAAGCTGTTCAGTAAATAGTACCACATAGTGCAGGGGTGATAGCTTGGGTCATAATCTACTAAAATAACACAATATATGTTCCGCAAAATGTTACGGATTTACATTTTTAAGCATATCGTTACGAAAAATTCCTTTTCGAGTATTTTTTTTACATCAGGTTATTCATGTATTGTCACTATACACAGTGGCGGCCCTAGCAAAATTTTTAGGTGGTGCGAGATGGCAAAGTTGTACCCGTGTAATAAAAAACCGTGTTCCTATACTATGCAGTTGCTTTTTTGTGAATTTTAAATACGATTAGACCTATCAAATATCTACAGGTGTATATGCGGGACCAGCACAGTTGCATCTGTCGCTCTTGCCATAGCAGTTGTTCTGCTTATTCTGTCCATTCCGCTCGCACTACTCTGTTCTCTCGACAACGCCACTGTGCTTGCCTCGCTACGGTCACTAGTTCTACAGATTATTTCTCATAACAAGAGTTAATTATCTTGTTTAACAACTTTTATTTAATCTGTTTCTATTAATTTTGCAGACAGTGTTAAAAATATAAAATAAATTATATTAAAAATATACAACAAATTTAATGAAAAACCTAGATGACCAGCTTTCTGGCTTATGCGCTTGAAATTTTTTATTAATTCGAAATAATTTAACTTCTGGATAATAGAATTTTCTATGGAAAAGATTCCAAAATATGAGAGTCTTTCCTGACACAGTAGAAATCTAGATAAATTTAAAATAAATAAATTTAAATGTTTTAATCATAGGTTTTAATGAACTAAAACTTCATTTCCGTTTAGCGACAATTATAGTCAGCAAGATACGAAATATCTACACATTTTCTATTATACACTGTCTACACATTTGAGAAAAATATTCTGTCGATGTCAAGAGCCGTGGTAGCTCAGATGGTTAACGCTCGCTGTAAATATAACAGAACGCGAGTAACCCGGGTTCGATCGCCGCCGGCATCAATGAAATTGTTAATTGCAATTTTAAGTGCTGATTTACCACGTGCCCGGGGGTGAAGGAAAACATCGTGAGGAAACCTGCATATCTGAGGAATAAGAAAAAAATATTTCGAAAACATGTGAAGTTCGCCAACACGCATTGGGCCAACGCGGCGGACACTTCCTTGTCATAAAACCCTCTCAGAAATGAGAGGAGGCCTGTGCCCAGCAGTGGGACGTATATAGGTCAATCGTTATTTTTAATAAGTCTGAGAACTTTGTATGGCTCTGCTGATTGAAGATCTTTAAAATAATGGGTTCAAACTCATAAGATCCTGAACCAAGTCACATTATGCACATCTGTTCAACTGATTTGCAAATCAACACAGGCTTTTTGACCTTTCAGGAATAATTTTCATTTTGTACAAAAATGAACACGTATCATAGAATTTTGATAGTTTAAGTCAAGTAACCAATGCACTTTTAACTGTATCAATCACAGGGTAAAAAAACGTTCATTTTAAACAATTCTTTAGGATCAGTTGGTGTCTCACCTACAGCTTCGTATACAAATAATATTTTCTTTCTTCCGGATCGGGCTGGCTTAAAAATTGGATCTATCTGTTATTAGAAAAGACAAAAGGCTCCGTACAGTTACAAAATTCTGACAAAATTTTCAAACAATACGACAACACCTTTGGCAAATCCATAGATTCAGACTGCATGGCATATTTTTGTGCAAGCAGCTATGCAGGTCTAGAAAGACCAGTATCACTGCGATCAAAAAGATCTATATTTAATAAAAGAGCTATATTTCACTGCTAAGCCCTGTCTTCAATGAATAGGAGTTGCTTAGCTGTGAGCAATTCAACTTCTTCTGGGCGAAGTAGATAGTTTCCCAGAGGTGTTACGTTTGGCGCATTAAGGGTCCACAATCAGCCAAGATGTACAGAGGTGTTTCTTCCGTAAGGCCTAAAATGGCTATCTGGATTTTAGACT